GGCGGGCGGAGGGGCGGTGCGGGGCCGGCGCGGGCAGCGAGTTGCGGGGTCGCGTCGCCGTTAAGACCCGGCCCCGCTTCCTTCTCGCCTCGCGAGCGAGCACCTCAGAGGCCGCGTTCACAGTGTTTGCGTTTTGTGTCCTGGTAAAGCAGCGGTGACTCGCCTCCGTCATTCCCACTAACGGAACAGATTTTATTTTTTAAAAAAGAGCCGAGGCGGAATCTGCAGGCCGCGCGGCTGTGCGCGCATCAAAGCGACTGCAAAGGGCGCATCCATCGCCGCCGCGCCCCCTCCCGCCTCTTAAACTGAGGTCCCTCCTCGACTCTCAGAGAGGAGGCTGAAGGCAGTCGCCTCGGCTCAGTACTTGTCATCATAGTATCACAGATGATGCTCTGCAAGGATCGGAGTAATTCGCATCCGGTGGCAGAAGCACGGTCCATGTCCTGTGCCGAGATCGCCCGTAAGAACAAATCCGATCCTTTTGCTGCGTGGTTTTCACTCCGACCTCTCACCAGCGGCGTTGGCGGGGTTCGCGCTTGCTGGGGGGCGGACCTTGTGTCCTGAGCTGCATTGGGGCCCATGGGAAAGCAGGTGTCAGACGTGGGCGGCCAGGTGTCTTTTATCTGAACCCAGTCCATTGGCAATTACTCAATATTAACACTTTGCATAATTTCAAAAAGTAAACGATCATCTCAAATGTAAGTAATGACTTTTAGAGAAAGACCTAGTAGCTTTGATTATCCCAACATATTTTCAGAAATTCTAGGGAACTAAAGAGTTAATAATCCAAAATACCTGAATACAGTTTCTTTGCCTTGATAAAATTACCTAAAGGCAATAATTTAATGTATGCATTAGCCATTGAAATTATCTCCTCCTGAATGAGTATATATGAATAGTCTGTAATAAAGTGATAAACGGGACAAACGCATGAACATAGGACCTTTTCCACGACCACCAGAGGGCGCTAGATGTAAATGATATAAACATTTTTTAAATTACTTTTACTCTGTATTTAAAGCTTGACTTTTGGGGGTTGCCTTGGTCTTCTTGATTGTTTCTCTTACAGTGCATTCCACAGCATAATTATCTGCATTGAACGTTAATTCCCCTCGCACGCTTAAAAACAAGAATTTTGTAAAAATTCTTCTCTAAAATCATGAAAATTCCTGAAGGTCTCAGGGGATTTTCAGAGCACTTTATAGCGTTTGTGAAGTTTGCGTTACGATGGGAGCATTGCAGACAGAGAACCATGTGTGTCCCAGAGGAGAATTCGAGACTTCAGACCTAAGTGTGCTTGTCTAAACCCCGGGAGAAAACTCCTGTGCTCTGGCCCCGGCTGGCACGTGGCTCCAGCCACAGGGCACCACGGCGGGTGTCACAGCCCAGATTTTTCATGACAGCCACTCACCTCACTTGGTCAGACCCTGGAGCGGGCGGGAGGTGTCATCTACCATTAGCGGAGTCCTAGCTGGGTGACCAGACCGCCCTTGCCCCCCGCCCCCCACCCCCCTGTGTTAGGTAGGGCCTGGCTTGAGAGGGTGGGTGTCGGCGGGCAGCTGTCACACTAACGTGGGGAGCCCCTTTCTCGTTTCTACCTAGAACCGCAGATCTAGGGTGCCCTGTGCGTGACCCGGGAGTCCACTTACTGTGGGAAGCCTAGGTGTCCATTACGTAAGTTGAAATAACTCTTTTGGTGATAACTTCTGCTTAATGCATATTTCAAACTATATTGTGAAGTTTCTGGATACCTGGAGTAACTACCCAGTAAGAAGGGGCCCCCGTATGTTCCCACACAACGGGGACTACTAAATTGACGTATATTCTGTTTCCAGATGTCAGGAACTCCCATATCATTTTGACTAATCAGCGTTGCTTTTCTTTAATAGGGGACCAGGACGCTTTTTTCCTAAAAATTTACCATTGTAATAAAAGTAGTCTCTGTTAGGAGCAGAGACGTGTCACAGGTTTGCTAACTTTTTAATTCTAGAATGAGTTCAGTTCCAGGACAAGGTTTCAGAAGCTGCTCAGAGCCTCGTTTTATTGGGCATGAAGGGTCGGTGCACGTGTGTGCGTGGGACTGATATCGATTCACATTCAGACATTCACGTCCCATGCGGGGGGCCGTGTTTTAGCCTGGCTCGGCGGTCTGTGTGTCAACGTTCAACCACAGGCCCTGTGGAGCTGTGAGTCACCAGTTCTCACGGGGCACACTCCCACTGTGACTATGGGTGTGATGGCACCAAACAGAGTTAGAACATGGCGTGCACAGGCAGCTCTGGCGGCTGGTCACGCCAGCCCATGCGCACACACAGCTGGTCCACACCCTCCGCCCGAAACCAGAGCGTTCCCAGACTCGGTGTCAGGGTCAAAAAAACCTCTTGAAAACCAGTAGCCCAGGGCACCAGCTGGAGCAGATTGTGCATTTTTTCTCCCGAAAAAAAATGTATGTAGGACTGAAGTCTTATTTAAAGGATTCTCGGAGGTCAGGAATCACTCTAAGTTATTTTCTTGAAATCACAAGGCAATGCTGTGGGGGATTATGATCTTAAAACATAAGCTCAAAAGTTAAAATTTCCAGTTTATTGCAATTAAGTCTCGACTTCTCTCCAAATAGTAATAATTGTATGGCGAGATCCCGTGCCTGTCGCGTTCGTTCATGGAATTCTTTAGTTTTGACCCATTTCACGTAGATTTATGCGTGACTGGGAGTGTGTATTTGACATCAGGGACTGCTTCGTGACGGGTTTCTCTCCTTTGGCACTGTTGATATTTTGTGTTGCGAGTCTGTCCCGTGAATCAAAGACTGTGTGGCAGCTTCTGGCATTCGACCCTTAGGTTTACTGTTCCCTCCCACTCTGGGACAACCGGAAATGTCTCCAGACACTTGTCCCCTGAGGTTGGAGGAGGGGAGTCCCTCCTGCTTGAGAGCCAGTGGACCAAACTAAAAGACAGGACTTCTTCATTACCGACGGTCTCCCTCACGCTCGGGAAGGGACTGTCATCAATTGCGAGTGGCTTCGCAGTGGTTAGAGCTGGGTGCTGGGGCCAGCACCTACCAGTCCTCCAGGGACGACTGTTACCCTTTTCAAAAATTTTGTTAGCGGCTTGTTGAAAATCAAAATACATAACTTGACAGTGAAAGAAATCCTAGTAAAAGCGAAATTAAAATGCTCAAACGTCATCATGATAATTCTTTTTCTGTGTTTTCCTGTTGTCGGTGTCTGGGAGCTCATTTGCTTGCTCAGCATCTGTACGGTGAAAACACTGGAACGCACTGTGTGCATCTGTTCACAACGGCACGTGCGGTGACGTCACGCACATAGCCAAAGGCAGCCGTGGCGGGAGTGTGACACCAGAGAAACTGATAAATGCTGTGAATCGGGCCGCCACCCTCCCCCCGCCCGCGTAGCCGCTCGTCGAGACATCCAGCCGCACTACATTGCATGTGTTTTTGTAAAAGGGGCTTGCCAGGCGTTATTTTGAAAATTAGATATGATCTACCATCCAGAATAAGGTCATAAGAATATGGCTTATATCATCTGGAGACAATTTGCGTTTTTTTAAGCGGTCATCATCTTTTTATGTGCAAGGAATGTGCTGATCAGTCAGTGTTCGCAGCGGCCCGCGTGCTTCTGTCTCGACTCCACGGCCTCTGCGGACGGGAGAGGCCTCCCCCAGAGCCCCAGAGGGCAGGGTGACAGGCGATACCGTGGCTAGTCACGCCAGCCTGTCCCCCTTCGTCCAGAAAGCCTTGATGAGGAAGACAGTTCCGGGAGAGGCGAACGGAACAGGCGAGGTTTTCACGTCCGTCTTCCGGAGTGGCCCAGGACAGTCTGCAGTCACGCTCACGCCGGGCACAGTCCTGATTCCATACCCCTTCCTTCGATCATTGCCTACCAATTTACTGGATTTGTTTTGCTTTCCAATGTTCTAAAAAAAATATGCAATAGTCCCAGAGTGTGCTACCCTATGGGACACAGCGCCATGCTTTGACACATATTTCAATTCTTGGCTGTCTCTTTGCTGCCAGCAGCCGTCGGCTCCCCTCGAAGTGCCCGCCCGTTCGTTCCCTGGGCTGGGGCTAGGCCTGTGGGGTCGCACATCGATGCTCCTGACGCAGAAACCCAGAAGCCCGGGTCGCAGAGGCCAGGCCTGGGGCCCTAGCTGTCCTACCCCTCGGCCAGGCCGGCTGCCAGGCCTCGGCCCTGCACCTGTGTGGGCTTAGCACGGGGGCTCCAGGCTGGGCGCTGCCATCCTCGGCCTTCTCTGCGTCCCCCGAACCCAGACACACGCCTTTCTGATTGTCCACCGACTGCCACCCACTCTGCTCCCGTGTGACCACACGGCTGTCTCCCAGGGGAGCACGGGGTCCCGTGGACAGGTGCCTTCTGATGAAGAGTTTTGGTTGTGAAGAAAACCTTTTTCCAGAAGAAAATAGTTAGCTGAGTACCATTCACTTACGACCAAATGCCACTTCTCTACGATGATGTTCTATTGTATTTGTGACTCCGCGAAGCGCGTTCAGCTCTCGCTAAGGCTGAAAAGGGTCCCGGTAGTTAAACATCTCACGGAACCGCCTCCTGACAGCACGTACTGGCAATAAAAGAGGAATATCTACATTCTTAGGACGTTAGCTTCGGGGTGAGAGTGTCAGAGTCAGGGTCCCGTCAGGCGAGTGGGAGGAAGCCGTGCTGGCATCTCTGGGGACCTCACTGTAAGCCCCCTGCTGTGGCGGCCTGACGTCCTTTCAGAGACATCTGGGACGGAGCCCGGGGGAGGGCTGATGTCATGCCAACCTGCTCTTTCCCGGCGACTGGCGACTGGCCAACGTGCCAGAGAGGAGCAGGCCCCCTCACCGCCTGCGTGCAGATGAAGGCAGATGGCCGTGTGTTTGCATGTCTTAAAGGCACAAACCAAGGTGTAAACCATCATTAATTCAAGTATCCTGCAAGCCCAGCCTTGACAGTCCACCTTCGCATGGTCAGAAAGTCCAGGCCTGAGCGTAGTAGGGGGAGCATGAAGCCATCTCTTCCTCAGGTGAGACCTGTCCTGCTCGGGACAGAAGCAACGTCTCCCGAGCCCTGGAGAGCGGAGATGGTGTCGTTTGGTGCTGAGACAACAAGCCCGGGCTACACGATGAAAATCGAATCATCTTGATCAGGTCCAACCTCTCTGGAGAAGCACACGGCACTGTCCCCAGGAAGGCGGTGGAGGCCTCTGCCCGCGGTTCTGACGGGGCTGCCGGGCCTAGTCCTCTTCACAGCGCGGGAAAAGGCTCCGACGGGCACTGCGTGCAAGCTGAAGGCCGTCTGCGATTGCAGCCCCGCCCGCCGCCCCGGCCTCGGACGGCCCTTTGGGGTGTTCTCGACTTGTGAAAAACAAACCACCGTTTATTGGAATGTGTGTTGGGCCAGCATGCTGTGGATTCGAGGGAGCCTAGCGCTCCCCGAGTGGGAAGTATGACCAAGTGCTGGGCACACGGGAGGGTCACCAGGGGCTTTGCCCCAAAGCAAGCACGCGTGTGTGAGCGTGTCCGGATGCTGATGTCCCCGAAACCGATGCGTGTGCGCTCCCCCTCCCCTCCTGGGTACTGCATAATTAAACATCGAAAACTAAGCAGCGAAGAACGACACCACATTTGTCTTCTTAACTGTTTTCTGAAGAATTGTCAGCATTTTTAAGCTAAGGGTTTGTTTTTTTGTTTCTTAGCGCAATGTGGATGTTTGTAAAAGACAGAATGCGAGCACAGGAATACTTAGAATCATAAAGATGATTGCGTACGATCATCACCCTACAGTAAAATGTTCGAAATGTGATCGCGAACATCCCTTTTTCGGTTCTGTTTGGTCTGTGATCTGTTTCTCCTCGGGGTGACATTGAACTTGGCGGGTGGGGAACGACATGCCGTGGGGGCAGCCACTCCTTCCGCCTTCCCTCCGGCCTCTGATTCCGTGCCTCTGAGCAGGGCTCGAAGCTGAGAGTGCCCGCGTCGTGAAGGTGTCGCCCGGACACCTTCCCTTGGAAAGCGCCTGCTCTTTCCAGAATCCTGCACTGTCTCAGAGGCCCCCGCTCTTGTGCTTTCAGAGTATGACCTGGTGTCTCCCTACGAGGTGGACCGCGATGGCAACTACGTGTCGCAGGCGGTCACGCACGCCCGGAGGAGGAGGCGGGCGCCGGCCCAGCGGGGCGGGGGCTCCCTGCACCTCAGGCTGACCGGCTTCAGGCGCGACTTCCACCTGCAGCTGGAGACGTCCCGCAAGCTGGTGGCTCCGGGGTTCGTCGTGCAGACGCTGGGGAAGGGGGGCACCAGGTCCGTGCAGCCCTTCCCGCCCGAGGAGTTCTGCTTCTACCAAGGCTCCCTGCGCTCCCACGAAAACTCCTCCGTGGCGCTTTCCACCTGCGAAGGCTTGGTGAGTACTGACCGCTCTGGCCTCCTGCGCTGAGGCCGCGGGGATGGTGGGTACCACGGGGACGGTGACACCGTGGGGACAGTGGGCACCGCTCTGGCCGCCAGCACTGCTGCCTGCCTTGTCCGTCTGGAAACAGCGCACGGCCCCGCCGTTTGCCACCGTCGCTGCTCTGGAACATTCGCAGGACAGCGCCGCGGTCCGAAGCCGGGCGTCCGCGTGGGGGCCGCCTCTGACGGCCTTGGCTTCCTGCAGGGCGGTTCTGGTCTGACTTACTGGTCCGTTACCGACGCTGGGGCAGCGTCTTCACGTGGGATAGAACCGCCCAGGCGATCGGCCAAGGGAGCGGTCCGACCAGACGGCGTTGCCCCCGGGATTGTGATGATGTCGGCCGCCCACGGGCCGGGAAGCTCGTGCCGGACGGGCCGACGAAGCCGTGGCAGGGCCGCACTGGTCTTCCTGGACGGGCGGGTCTGTTGGCGCATCTCCATCTCCTTAGGATCTGATTTAGACGTTGAGCCTCACGTAGATGCTCCAGGTGGTCCCCTTGGCTGGGACTCTAGAGTGAGGAGCATCTGGCCAGGTCGAGAAGACACAGGTATCCTTCTGGCTGACCCAAGCTGAAATCTTAAAGGCTTGTCTTTCACTTTTCTTAAGATATTTCCATATGTTTAGGAAAGAAAAGCTTATTATAGTTCTCAGTACAAGTTGGTGGGTCACTCGCGGACGCAAGAGACGTGACAGGTGGCAGAGTGGAGCCGTGCGGCCTGAGCCGTGTAAGGTGTGACCGTGTGTGAGCTTTGGCAGACAGGCTTCTGAGCATTCGTTGCATCTTTAGAAAGTGTTTTCAGTCTGTCTTAAATGGCTTTTCCTCTTTCAAAAGAGGAGACTCAGACTCTAGTTATCGAAAAGATTTGGGGTACGTGTCTGTGAGTCGTGGATGCTGACGCGGCATTCATAACCAGTTTCTTAAAATACCACGTATGTGTAAATGCTAAGTCTCGTTAATTTAGAAAATATAATGACTCTGCTTTCTAGGGGAATTTGGTGCGAGTCGGTTCTTATCTGCTTTCGTTTGTAAAAGGCTTTGGCTTGAGAATGGGTCCGGCCGGAGTCGCCAAGCCCGGGGAGGTGGTTACCCGGCAGACTCGTCAAGCACGGGACAGCGTGGCTGGTTTCTCTCATCTCCTCCCAGGAAAACTGCGTCTTCCTCAGTTAAAGGCCTAAACTGTTCACGCGATGCCCCGCGGAAGAGCTCTCTTTCTTGGCTCTCTTCAGCCGAGGTTCAGAGCAGAATGGAAGCCGCCTGTGTGGCAGGGACATGTGTCACGTTCTTCCGCACGTGGCACCCTTGGATCTGTTTGTAGAGATTGGGCGACATGCTTCCCGCTCACCCAGCGGGGGAGCAGGCTCACTGACGCTGGGGTCCCTGTGGGCCGGGGCTCCCCACGACCACCCATCAACAGACAAGGTATCGGTGAGGCTGGAATTAACGTGTTTGGAGGATGAACGGTGAAAGCAAACAGATTTCTGTTTCAGTGACTGGACTAATAAATCCCGGTGTTTATTATCCGGAGGAGTCTTTCTTTTCTGTTCCTTTTTGCTTCTTTATCTTTCACGTAGCTGTGGCTTACAGCTTCTGCTGTTGACTGTCCTTGCGTTCAGAGAGAGGAGACTGTGTGCACCATGGAGCCGCCGGCCTCCTCTCGATGGCTGGTGACCAACAGCTCTGTGACGATTGACAACGGCCTCAGGCGTGAGCCTTCACACGTCCGTCCCAGACCAAGCCGGCCTGTGAGCTCTTCAAGATGCCTTGTTCCATTCATCTTTAGATCCTCAAGTTCCTGTAGAAACTAACTAGAATCCTTTTTTTATAATGAATGATCGTATTTCAAATTTACAAACAAAAATACTGTATCTTCTCAGTCTCTAGTCGAGGTATGAATACATATAAAATTAATTTTATAATCCACTCGTCTGATAGCTTTTCGTGACTAATGCCAAACAACCTAAATTTTTTTTCCAAGCACACATTTTATTCAGAAATGCTTTAATTGATAAAATTTCTGACAAACAATTGTTAAAAACACGTATTAGTCGATACTTTTAATGAGGATTCTTTAAAAATATTTTCCGTTGCGCATGACACGATTAGATTTTCTCGAAGGACTTCGTGCACGTTCTGTACTTGGGTTAGAACTTAAGCCAAAAAAAAAAAATTAAGATAATGTCTACCCTTGGCACAAAATCTGAATGATCCTCTTGTGTAAAGCATTCTGTTGGTTATGACATTAAAGCCTAGGACACGTGTCACGTCTCATGAAATATCATGATTCTCGTTTCCAACAATGTTGGGAAACTTGTCGAAGCCGCAATCCTCAGCTCTCTGTGGGGTTCCCAACCCCGCTTGGAGACTGGCTCTGGACCCCGGTTTGAATCGTTCAGGTCCGGGCACTCTCCAGAAACTCTAGTTACTGAGAGTTTTTCTAAAACACACAAGGAATCCTAGGAAACTGTCCGAAATGTTGCCAGAATTTCAACGGATGTTGAAAAACATTCATGAGCGAGAAAATAAAACGGGAGAAAAAAGGAGGAATCGAGGCGGAGACGGTCGTTAGAGACGATCTGGGCTTTAAAAGCGTCACGTCTGAGAAGCCTGCTGACGCCATAACCGGCTGAAAACATGTCCGTCTTGGGAGGCGTGTGGGAAAAATCTTGGAGAAAGTAAGGTGTTTAGATGAAGTCTGAGCAAACTCATGGTTATTAGGAAGCGTCGAAGGTGAGTGTGGGGAATGGACTGAAAATACTAGATAACGCCATAAATTTCTTCTAATTAAGAATAAATACAGTAAGAAATTTGAAATTGTATTTCATCAGTAGAGGTAGATCAAAGGAACATTGTATAAGTAATCGTTTATTCTTGAACCAACCACGTGTTCTTCTATTAGCTGAAGTCCGCAGCTGTTGGGGACATTAAAAAGCAAAGATTCTTAGTTTCGATGGGACTCGCAGGCATAGCCAGGCTTCACGTGAGGCGGTTCAGGTTGGCCCTGGAAATGCGGGCAGACGTATGCAAGGATGGGTTTAGTGGTTGTTTCATGAAAGTCGAGACAACCGGCCCACGTTCGTACGCTTACCTACTTCCCTCCGAGGGCCCCCTCGGCGAAGGCTGAAAAACAGAGTTCTGATCTCCTCAGCCTCCTGCTCATGAACCCCATGTCTGCCTTACACAGACAGCGCCCTGGGTTCTGCCCTTGCCCGCAACTCCCGCCTTAGAAGAGAAACTCGCTAAACCAAAGGGCACCAACTTATTTCTTTCAAAATAAGGCCGAGTTCCTCATCTCCCCGGGCCCTTAACGAATGTCGTGCCCTCTGCCTGAAGCACAATTTCTGTCCCTCTTCAACTGGTTAAATGTCATGGATTCTTTAGGTCTCAGAAAGTTAATCCCTCTGGTCATACTTCTCTGGCGCTCCAAGCCAGGTGGGTTCCTCTGTAATGCATTCGTGACTCCTTGAAACAATTATTGAAAGTTATTCTTATTTTGCTTACTAGGCCATTATTTATCTCTCCCTCAAAATAGTGAGTATCCCAAGGGCAGCATCATAACTGTCACGACCCATTCAGGACCAGCAGTGTCCCTCACCCAGGGGAGTGACCGGGTGTGTGGGTGGAAGGAGGAGTGGGTAGATGGGTGGGCAGACGATTGAGTAAATGATGGGTGGATGGAGAAGAGGATGGGAAACAAATAGATGGATGGATGGATGGATGGGTTGATGGTGGATGGATGGATGGATGGGTTGATGGTGGATGGATGGATGGTGGATGGACAGATGGAAAAATAGATAGGTTCAAACACTAGTCCTACCTGTGCCAGAGCAAGGCCCCTTATCCAGACAACAGCAGCAGCGATGTGGCCAGCCCTGTGTGAGCTGAGGCTGGAAAGCAAGCGTTTCCAGACCATCGCCACACGGTCCCGAGCCTGTCGGTCGAGGCCTGAGGGGCGAGTTTTCCCAGGAGGGAGAGAACTGCCTGGGTGCTGCTCACGGCCACGTGGCCTCAGGAGGCCCGTCTGTAAGTCAGTGCTTTTCCGGTCCTAACCGCATAAGTAAATTTTTTTCAATGACAGAATCTCTAAACAAATCGTTAATAACAAATGTTGAAATATACTTGGGTGACAGCATATGATGTGATTTATACAAAGTACATTTCAAGAAATGGCTTTTGAACTAAATGGCATCTGTCCATCGCTTAGCCGTGTCTACCTTACGGCACGAACGGAGACATAATTGCTGTGTCTCTGTTCTTGGACGTACACTTCCTTCAGTGATCAAGGTCATGACAAGGGTGGATTCCCTGTTCCCCACCGAGATTTCCGCAAAAAGGTGTTCTCACAACCCTCGATCCTTCGCGGAAACCAAGGCAGCGAATTTATTCTAGACTAACTTTCAGAAAGAAAATGCTGTCATCTTATAAGAAAGCTGTTCCATATTTACTTCGTTTCAGTAGTTAAGGTAAATTACATATTAAGCAATTGTTTTCTAGAAATCCAGCGCCACGCTGGCCAGCAAGCGTGTAATTTAGGGGCTGTGGAGATTACCCTGAGATGCAGATAAACAGAAAGACGTGAATTCTCTCTGTGCGAAGAAAGATAGGTAGACAGACATTAAAAAAAGAAAGAGTAAAATGACTTCTTAAGCAAATGGGAGATATATATATATATATATACATATATGAAAAAAATGGAGGAAAAAGGGCCTTCGGAGCCAGACGAGGCTCGTACGCATTGAACTTCTCTCGCTAGCCAGGTGACCCACCGTCGCACACTTGCCTCTCCCGGATTTATAAGTGACACCGGTCCCGTGTGGCTGTGTGAGGATTGAGCGAGGCCGCATACGTGTGTAAAGGACCTTAGCACAGGGCTCGGTGCACACTGAAGCAGAGCTAGGATTTGTTCTCCTCCTGCCCCCGCCCCCCAGTACCAAGCTGTGTAACGTGGACACAG